ATGTCAATAAATAATCTACAGGACTATGAAGCCATAAAAGAGATGAAATAGAGTGGAAATAAAGGAAGGGAAAACAGGAGAGGGTAGAACTGAGGTTTTGAGCAAAATAAAAAAAATAGATAAAAGAGATGGGAGGGGAAAAAAGGGGAGGAGGAGAAAGAGAGCTTAAATGTTGAATTTTGAAGGGGTAGAACTGAGGTTTTCTATGTTCTCACCAATTGCAAAGCAAAATGTTTCCACTTGAATTCTGCAAAATGCTGTTGGTGCCTTGGTAATCATCCGATGTTAAAAAAGAGTACGGTAGTTCAATATTCTTGAGAATTATATCTAGATCAACCATAATCAATCAGAAAATCAGGAGTAAAGAGAACGCGCAGATGCCCCCCGAACACTCACAGTCCATCAAATACATGATTCATCCCTTCTCATCAACCCTTCTTCTGTAAAAGAAGACACGATGGCTTTCAGTGCACTTAACCTCTCAGCAAACCAATAATCTCAAAATAATACTTCTTAGAACCTTCTCATTGCTGCGCTCGACAAAACCAGTAATCTACTCATAAGCATACATTGAAGATGAGAGCACAATCCTTTAGTCACCATTTTGTAAACCCTAGAAGCAAACGCGAAGACAAGAGCTTGATGAATATTAGGAAGCAACAATTCTGAACCCAAGATAAACACAGAGAGAGATTAAAAACCATTATAACAACCAGCTATAATGCCCCACCGCAGAAATACTTTAGAACCAACTCCCACGGTATATTGTACATTTCTTAGTTTAAACCATGTCTTAATCTACAAATCATTAGAACACGTGCGGAATGGAATGACCTTATATTAAACAAAAAGAAATGTTGTTGTAAGATTGTACAAGTACCTCTGTTGTTAGAGAGAATTTGGCCAGAAAACGCATATTTATAGGCTTAACTCTAACAGTACAGTGCCTACTCCGTAACAAGCCCGTCCACCTCCATGCAACTGCTATTTCAGCCGGAATGAATCAACAATGGCAAACCCAGTATCCAGGCCAAAAAAAATATCACATATAGGCCATAAGCTTAATCCTTCTTACTGATCCAGCTACAGACGCTACAATTTCATCCACTGGACGAGATGGAATCAAAGCAAATTAGTGAAGAAGGATGAGACTGTTGTCCAGGCTAAACTCGGATACAACTCTTCACCTTGTAGCTGTTAATCTTCAGGCAGGTCTTCACATGACACATTCTTTGGCTTAGGGGGATATAGTGTGTCCAAAACCACTTGAGATAAGGCAAACCGTACATCTGGCAGTGAGCCCGATGCCAGATTAGAATAGTTAAGCTTGTGTCGTCTTCTTCCTTCATAACCACTCTCTTTGGTTTTTCTTCCGACACACTCAAACACTCTACAGACGCTCAGATATGATTGTAGGGGAATGAATACCTGCAACCAAGGACAATGAAAATTGCTAAAGAGAACACAACACTAAAAAAGAACATAACCAAAATGCAGCAAGAAATTTCGGTCATAATTGGTATAAACAAAAGGGTCTGAAAAAATGCGATTTAGTAAACACATGACAAGAAAACAGTTTCATATTTGATAGTCACTTCAATAGTAAAAGCTAATTTGTCATGGCGGTGGAAGAAGAACCATGGAGATTGTTCATAAAACAAAAGTGAGATTGCTTAATTAAAGAGTTAGCTTCTAGAGTATAATGGAGCAGGACGCCCCTGAATTTGAACAAATATTGGGCAAGCTGAAATGAGAAGAAGATAGAAAAAAGGAGGGAAAAAGAACCAGAAGAGCATCTTTAAGAAGTTAGAGTCAGCTAACATATGATGAATCAGAAAAAATTAATCTACTCAGGCTAAATAGGTGGGTAAAAGCTTTGTTATACTCAGATCACCAACATGCTCCATAGAAAAAAAAGGCTCATAAACTCTGATGATCATTTGCCCCACTTCCAGTAAAACTGTGGGAGCTATTAAACCTAAGGGATTGTTGTTTGGATGCAAGAAATAGCTCTGTACACGTCTAGAGAACAATAACAGTCCAATTCGAGAAGCTTCAACGTTTTTTGAGGGAACACGGGGACCTTCTAACTTCTTGCAAAGCAACATGACTATACGTAAGACTACATTAATTCATGACTTAGTCCAATTGTTTATGGTACTAATAACTATTTCACTAGTCTTGGAGCTGTACTCAAGTATCATATGACCGCAGTATTATACAAGATGCAACAAGTGAATTGAAATACTTGGGTTATTAATCATCCTATCATCAAAGTGCAAGGAAAAATGACAGCTGAATGTTTGGGTTACTGATCATTTTATTGTCAAAGATGCTTGGAAGAATGAAAATAGACATGCTCAGGTATCTGACTGTATGTTCTCTGGACATGACACCCGTGTTCGAAGCTTGGAAATCTGCCGACTGTTAGTTGCCTCAAACGAGATGGAATATGGCATGCTCCTATTGATAAACTAATTGTTTTGTAAATCATTTTATTAAACTTAGGTTCTTTCATATGTGAATTGCAACAAATAAACAAATTTTATCTGTCAACTATACATACATTCAGCTGAAATACAAATATGTACTTGTGTTCTCCTGTCTAAATTTTGAAAAATTGCTGTGTTCGACACCGAATGTCCATGTAGGAGCATGAAACTTTTCTTCATAGCCATTAGTCATAGGATTACACTATGGCTCTGGCCAAGAATAAACTGACTGAGCAACTAGAAGTAGTTATCCCTCATAGTTCTTGTAAAGTTCTTTTTATCTATCAGCCTCTGCCCTTACATGTCAACTACGGATCTTAATAGACAAGATAGAGATTCTTGTCTATTAAGATCCGTAGTTGACATTACTGAGATATGGTCTAAAAAGAATGGAATAATGGCAGTTAGAATCTCTTCATCTTCTTTTTTTGGTCTAAAAAGAACCTTAACAAGATCAAGTGACCTGACAACCATTGGGGTACTTAGTGGATGTGCTTTATCCATGTAGAACCGTTTTAATACCTTCTGGGTATAAGCAGTTGGTGAACAAAAATCTCATTTTCTAAATGCTCAATTTGTAAACCAAGGCAAAATTTAGTTTTATCAAAATCTTTAACCTCAAATTCTTTCTTCAAATATTCAATCGCCTTTTGGAGCTCTTTAGGAGTTCCAATCAGATTAAGATCATCAACATATACAACACTCAACAATGATCACAAAATTTGACTCATTCCTCTTTATGAAAACACATGGACATATAGGGTTATTTGTATAACCTTTTTTGACTAAACATTCACTAAGACGGTTATACCACATTCGTCCAGATTGCTTAAGTCCATACAAAGATCTTTGCAACTTAATGGAGTACATTTCTCTAGGATTTGATTTACATGCTTCAGGCATGCTAAATCCTTTAGGGGTTTTCATATAGATAGCATTATCTAATGTTCCATATAAATAAACAGTGACTACGTCCATCAGACGCATATCAAGTTTTTTATGTACTGCTAAACTCACAAGATACCTAAATATAGTTCCGTCCATTACTGAAGAATATGTCTCATCATAATCAAATCCCGATCTTTGAGAAAATCCTTGGACTACAAGTCTTGCTTTATATCTCATAATTTTATTTTTCTCATTTCTTTTCCTCACAAATACCCATTTATATCCTACTAGCTTTACACCTTCAGGCGTTTGGACTACAGATCCAAAGACTTTTCGTTTAGCCAGTGAATCTAATTCAGATTGGATCGCATCTTTCCATTTTGATCAATCATTTCTTCACCGACATTCATCAACCGATCTGGGTTCGTGATCCTCGTCATCTTCCATAATATCAAGTGCTACATTATATGCAAATGCATTATCGACAATTACTTCTCTTCGGAACTCTTTCTCGTAATAACAAAATTTATTGAAGTTTCATTTTCTTCAGGAGTTATCTCTTCAGGAGCGACCTCTTCAGAAGATTGAATTTTGTCATTAGCAATATTTTGATCATTCGATCCTCTTTTTTTCGAGGATTCTTATCTTTGGAACCAAGAGATCTACCACGCTTCAAGCGTGCTTTGCATTCGTTAGCACTTATAATTTGTCCTTTTAGGATATCAATTTTAATCGGAACATTTTCTGTTGGAATATGCGATTTAGCAATTCTTCTAGAATCACTAAAAGCATCCGGTAATTGGTTTGTAATTTTCTGTAAATGTATAATCCTTTAAACTTCCAGTTCACATTCTTTTGTACGAGGATCAAGAAAGTCTGGTGATATTTTCCAAGTAATTTCCTTTTTCGGTTGATCTTTACCTCGCCCTAATGTCGGGTAATGTGATTCATCAAAATGATAATCTGCAAATCTTGCAGTAAATAAATCACATGTTAATGGTTCAACATATTTAATTATAGAAGGTGATTCATACCCAACATATATCCCCAATCTTCTTTGAGGGCCCATTTTAGTACGTTGAAGCGGTGCAATAGGAACATATACCGCACAACCAAAAATTCATAAATAAGAAATATTGGGCTCGTGACCAAGAACTAATTGTAAGGGAGAATAAATATGATAACTTGTCGGCCTAATTCTCACAAGTGTTGCTGCATGTAATATAACATGTCCCCTAGCAGATAAAGGAAGTTTAGACCTCATTAACAATGATCTTGCAATTAATTGAAACCGTTTAATAAATGATTCGGCTAGACCATTTTGTGTATGAACATGAGCTACAGGATGTTCAACACTTATCGCAATAGCCATGCAATAATCATCAAAGACATGTCATGAATATTCACCAGCATTATCTAAACGAATTTTCTTAATGGGATAATCAGAAAATTGTGCTCGCAATTTAATTATCTGAGCAAGCAATCTAGCAAACACTAGGTTACGACTAGATA